TCAACTATGAAAACTAAGAGAGACCGAGCTAAAGATAGTAGCGGTTGTTTTAATGGCGAGATATCGCGTTCGTTACGCAATTATGTAATGAAGTTAATTATTAAACGAGTCAAGTTATAGAAAATCAAGCCTCACATTATTTCTTACAATTTTTAATAATATGCTAAAATGTATGATATATAATAATAATAATAATAATAATAATAATAATAATAATAATATTAAAGACGCAGTGAGATGCGTAATTTTTGCAAGCTATGTACAAAGTACGACCGCGATCTCATTCCGCCCTATAAGGGGAATCGAAACAGAGTTATAGAAAGAAAGATGAAATCCTGTGTCGATACTCGAAGCTACATCGTGGATCTTTTCGTGTAAATTTTTTTCACATCGATCAATATACGAGTTTTTCTGTTAGCTAAATGGCAGCTCTCGATATTCTCGAGACGCCGTAGCCGAAACTCATACGCATCTTATAACTCATTACATATTTTGTAATTTTCTCTCGTGTTAAAGTGAAAAATATTTAGCGATATAAGAAGGTGTGTATGTTTTTATAACCAGATTCACGTAAATTTCTTAATCCTCATTAACATACATGTCCCTTCCCTCCCAAACGCTTTCTCTCCTTTTAATGTACAGTTTAGAAAACATGCCGCATAAAATATATTAAATTTAATACACGAAAAATACATTCTTTACAGTGTATCGCAATAAACGCGAGTCGGATTAAAGTGGGGACAGTGATAATTCATTATCATAATGTAAACGTTTCCATCTTTTTAAAATATTATAGATTTTATAGATATTAGAGAAAAAGGTAGGAATATATAAGAGGCAAAAATATATGTATATATAAAACAAATTTCGAAATGTGACTCTGTTTTACGGAAAAAAAAAAAAATGTGCAATGTAATATATAGTCTTGTGTGTAGTAAAATTTGCATCTGCGTTTACATCGTCGAAATGCGCGTGAAATTTCAAATGTCGGATAATATAAAGTCAACGATAAATAAAATCATCGACGTTCTCGTTCGACTCTACGCTTTATACAGATCCATTACGATAAACGTCTTGTATTCCTACCGTTTCCTCGAGAAACGAGAACTGAAGGTTTCCGCCGTTTACTCAATACATATTCAAACACGATGATTATATTTGTGCTCGCCACACGCGCACTATCCCACACGGTGTACTCGCGTTTAGCGTCTCGCTCGAGAGAAGCAAATGGGAATCGGCCATCACCCACCTACACCGTGTCGCTTATTCGCCGACATCGAAGCGGATATTTCTGTCCGTCTATCGCGCAGATTTCGCGTTTTTCGAGAGCGACACTTTATTTCGCGCATGGGCTTATTAAATAAAAAGGAGGAGAAAAAAAAACACGGGACGACATATACATAGAAAAAGAAAGAGAGATACGATCGATACGCTCGGAGAATAACGGTTGATCCTTATTCCACTTGAGTTGGCCGCTTGTCTCGGCCGGAATCGAAGAGACACTTTGCCGAAGGTTCACCCACTTGGAAACCGATCTCAGCTGACTGGTATTTGCGTCAGCGATACCACCTTGTGTGTACCACGTGGACAAGCCAAGGTTGTCCGGTCGTGGAACAATCTTCGCGACAATCTCGGTCCGCTCGTTCGCGCGAGCGATTCGACTTTGCGTCTCCCTCTGCGTGGATCATCATCAGCGCGAGATTATACGGATTTTCTGAACGGGGAAGCCGAGTAGCTCTCCGCGGTTGATTGCCAGGTGGTGAGGTCAGGAAGACGTCGCTCCGGGCCTGGGCGTGGTCCACGGTAGCACGCGAGGAAGCGAACACGAGCGCATCCTCTGACCGGCGTGTTCCCGTATAGAGCTAGTAGGTAGGTTATTACGTAGTCCAATTTAGGACGTTAGCCCGAGGAGGGCTACGAGGAACAGCGCGGCAGCTTCCGTTATGAAAACGCGGAGGAAAGTGGATCGTCTGCTTGCGGACTCTTCCCCAGGTTGCTCTCTCGCCGTCGTATAATCGACCAAGAATCATTCTTTTTAGTTTTCTTAAAGCTTCCATGCTCGACGATCGATTAAAAATATCGTGTGTACTTTTTCATTGTCTATTGTGAAAGGATTGCGGAAATTCTTATCGATTAAAATGTTTTCTATTGAAGGTAGTGCATGTTTAAAACAGAAAAAAAGATTTAAGGTGCAATTTAAATTGATAAGTAAATTATTTTCCGCGGGTAGCGTCGTATCTATCTTTCTTTCTCGTATCCTTACGATATTGTTCCTCTAATCGCACGCAACGCTAAATTTTCGACGATCTAAAATCTAAATAGCTTCTCAATCAATTTAGTTATTCCGCATGGATAAAGAAATTTAGAATTAATATTCAATGACAACGTAAATTTCGCGTACGCTTTGAACATTGTGTCGATCGCATTTTACAAGAATTTACAAGATAATATCAGTTACCCGTTCGAATTTAACCTGGCAGAATTATGCAGGAAGTTCAGTGAAATTGCTCGCCGCTTCGTATCCCAGATCGTTGCCATCATTCACGGGTCTGCGACGGTGCTTCGTGTTGGTCAAGTCGACGATTCTCCTCGAAGATGTTTCTGACGTCTGGGTGTAGGCTCGGGATACAGGAGGATGAGAGAAGCGGAAAAAATCAAAGAAGCGTGGACGAACAAACTAAAATACGAGGTTGGTAGGCGAGGTTGGTGATAATAAAAAACAAATATATTAAAAAGATCGATGGAGCTTCGCGGTTCCCCTGCGGTTCGCAGAGACGGCTCTTCGTCTCCGGCGAATAAGACACGTCGTCGCCGACGGATCGACGCGGAGGATTATCGCTTTAATAAAGGAGGAAGATCGGGGAGAACTGGTCGGTCGATGAGTGAGTATAGCATTCGATAGAGAAAGAGAGACGCGTGTCTACGGGAATTTAGGATAGTAGTTGGCCGGATGGCTTCTAATACCTAGAGTAGCCATTTGAATAGCCATTTGAGTAGCCGTTGGAGCCCTTGTAGGGAACAGAGTGTATGCTCCTGGAACAGAGATGGTCGAAATCGGAAGATGAGGAAAGTACACATCCCGGGGTGGACCCCTCGCTCTCTTCTCTTTTCCCCTCTTCCCCTTCTCTCATTCTCTCAAATTCTCCTCCTATCTATCAATCATTCCCGCCGCCTCGTTAGAGTCGTGGAACCCGTGCGCGCCGTGTGTTAGTTAAAGAAATAATCGACGATATGGAAGAAATCGTAGTAGAGGATAGTAAAAATCGCAGACAAAGTAGTGGAACAGGCAAAAGAAGAAGAAGAAATACGCATGCCGGGGCTTTTTCTGTGGTGGCGGTACATAGTTGTCAATCGCGCTTTTCGTCGCGATTGATCGGAGGAAAAAGTGCGGGTGATCAAGAATGAGAGAGAGAGAGAGAGAGAGAGAATGCGTGTAGGTTGCAGTTTATCATGGTAGTTGCAATTTTAATCGTTGTCTGTTGTCTGTTGTCTGTTGTCTGTTGTCTATTGTAAAATTGTTCATGTTGCTGGCGTGTGCATATTAATTTGAAAAAATATTATTGATGGTCTATAGTCACTCTCAATCTTATTACAGAATAAAAACTATTGTGTAAAATTTAAAATATGTGCATATTGTGTTATTTTTACATTTTTTTCAATTGTTTTAATAATTTAACATTTGAGTTTAATTACCACAACAGCAATATGTTAAATTAACATATGTGCATAAATGTGTTATATATTTAACATAACAATTTTAATCGGCTTATTTTTTAACAAGAAAACACAAATTTTCCAACAGTGTAACTTTCTCAATCGTATTTTCGTCAAAACTTGATAAGAGAATCGATAAAATGTAAAGCAAGTAATTGGGCGTATAATAAAAGTTTCTCTTTCTTTCTCTACGCAGTTCTATGAACATAGAGAGATCACTTTATCAAAATTATATTCGATTAAAATTTCTCATTGTGCCGTTTTCAAAACGATGAAATCCTCTTCTATTGCGACATGATATCGTCATCACCTTCTCTCTGACGCAGTTAAATTAATTTTACGCTCGTAAAAATGAGTCATATAATCGTATCTTTTCTCCGCGACCAGTCATATCTTTAAACCAACGTATTCTTTTCTTTTGTCCGTTAACATTTTTTTTAACAACAACGTAAAATATATCTTTTAATATAATAAAATATTATTCTAAGAAATACCATTTATTAGAAACAATATGTTTCTAGTTTCAGTATGCGTTCGAGTGAATGGTCTGTACTTCTCTTTGTGTATATTGTTTCTTTGTTTATTTTATTTGTGCATCGTATTTTCTTAACTTATTGTTAAAAAGATGGTACCTTTTGCTAGGGTCGACCGAAAAAGTCCAGTAAGTGGTAAATTTCGAATTCTTGGAAATTCCAAATTTTTACTGTCCCGAACTTTCTCTAATGCAATAAATCATTATAGTTTAAAAAAAAATGAAATCAAAATAATACTAAAGTCTTTAAACTCAAATTAATATATGAAATATCCGAAACAAAAATTTTAGAGATATAAATATTATTAAATTTCATATTAATTTTTAGTTTAATAAGAAAAATGTAATAGTAACAGAATTAAAAATTTTTACCGATATAGATCTGATTCGCGTTTACCATTCAACAACTATCAAAATCTAATTTATTTGCTACGTCGATTCCTAATATCTATTACGGCTTTTATATATATTTTGAATAAAGCTTAAATTAAAAAACACTCTCTCAAATAACAAATACAGATAAAAAGATTTTCTATTTATTTTAACGATTTAAATAGAGAAGACCAGTTTTTGCCGGTTTTCCGGAAAATACCACCGGCTTTTATCACTGGCATAGAATTTATCCAAAAAATGTGGAATTTTTCCAGCCCTGCCTTTTACGCATGGAACGCTTTGCGAGTGTCGTTAATTAACGATTATATTAAAACATCAACGTGAGATGTTTGATATATTAATCCTCTTGTATTTGTATCTTTAATTCACCGCATGAAACTATTCGTTCGCGTTTCGCGATTTCGTCGCGTCAAAAGATACTCGACGATGGATCGAAGAATCGGCAAGTTTCGAAGTGACTCACAGAATGAAGTACCGACTTCACCGATCAGCCGATCGTTTTTCTCTTTTCTTCGACTTTGCGAAAGGTCGAACCGGTGACCCGACCGGTTTCCTCGAGGCGCTTACGTCGAGTCTTAGCTTAAAGCTTACGCGCACGACTAAGAATCTTTATACATAATACGCGATGCTGAAAACTTCAAGTTACTTGTTATCGAAACGCCGATCGGTTACAGCTCGGCGGAGAAACGTAATATTCGTCGACGCTATATAAAAGAAAAGAAAAAAAAAACGGGATAATCGCGATAGAACGATTGCCACAATAGTCGATGACGCAAAATCTAACGACGGTTAATTTCAGCTTGACTTTTCGAGTCCAACGTTGACAGAGCTCTGATCGAATCAGTCTCCGTCGCGCAAAAACGTCTCCGATGCTTCAATTATTTTTCTCGCGAGTGAGAGTTACACATTCACGATCGCGATATTTCGCAGGAACATTCACTAACGTCACGGACGTGTGTCTCTTTCATACGCGCGACGCTCGTACACTCGGAGAACGCGATCCCTTGTAAAAGACCCCCCTAAAGGGTCCTTCCCTCGAAGATCGCGACGATTGATCACACGTATCGGATCGCGCATGTCTCGCGCGATCGCGCAAAAATAGGAGAGAAAAAAAAAAAGAAAAAAAAAAACCAAGTATCGATACGAAACGGGGAAAACGAAAAAAACGAAGAAGAGGATAAAACGATAGTGTACCTGTGCTGCTTGAGATTATCCTGCCGCTTGAAGGACTTTCCGCAGACCTCGCAGGTGAAGGTCACGTCGTCCTTATGGCTGCGCTCGTGGATCATGAGGTTGTAGGGCTTCGTGAAGCGCCGCTGGCAGTACTTGCAGACGAACTCTACCGTGCACTTGGCGCGCATCTTCTGCCGCCGGCCGAACTCCCTGCCGTGCCCCTCTGTCTCCATCGGCATTATCGCGAACATCCTTATAAATTCCCACCGCTCCTTCTCTTGGTCGAGAGTCTCTGTCCTTCTCCTTTCCCTCCTACCCGTCTCTCTCTCTCTCTCTCTCTTTCTCTCTCTCTCTCTCTCTCTTTCTTTCTCGCTCTTCTCTCGCCGACGCCCGAAGTCACTCCCACCACTTTGTCTGTCTCCCTCTGTCCTTTTTCTCGGTACGCTTCGTCGTTCTCTCTCTTTCTTACTCTGTCATGTACTCTCTGTCACGCTATTCCTCTCTGTCTCGCATGCAGAGACTTTCGTACGCTCTCTCTCTTTTTCCTTTTATCTGTCGTTCCTCGATTCGCTCTTCTCCTCCCGCGTAAAGCTAGTCTCGAGCGCGGCTGATCTCCTGGGAGTGAGATCACTGGTTGTAGCACGTCGCGAGAGGATCCTCTCTGCCTGAAAAGAGCACAGAATCGATGATTTCTCCGATCTGACTCGCGCGCCTCGAGACGGAATCGCCCGCGTCGCGCGGAGCAAAGTATTCGCGTATACATATATCTTTGACGATACGTACGGCGAAACGCCGTTCTACGAGCAACGGGTTAGTAATGTCTCGAAGCAGCTTGTATAAAGTATTTTGCATTCCTTATCGAAACGCGTAGGCGGAGGAAGGTGCGCGTGTCGATGCGCCTCGCGCGGAACGTCTTGGATCGAATTATTCGCGCGACATTTTATTAGGATCACGCTTAAAACTAATATAGGAAGGTACAAATGACTTTGCAAGAAAAGCTTGTTGCAGGATATGCCTAACGCGAATCGAAATAGAATAACTTTCGATGTGGAAGACGATCAATACGCATCTTAAATCCTGTTTTGTTTTTTCATCTTAATTTATTTTGTAAAATTATCTTTAATTTGATATTATCTTTATTTTAACTTTGTATAAATTCTGCAAAATTGTACTTGCGTGAGTGAAAACTGTATTATGTGATTTTTACTTCTTCAAATATAGTAGAATTAATCCACCATTAAATATATCATTTATAATTATATTTAATACACAATTAATTTTGCGAAATTTTGTCAAATTTTTGTGAAATTAATAATCATATTTTAATTTTGTGTGATTATATTAAGAGTATTTATATTATATTTGTATTTAATATTGTACTTTAATAAAAATTCCCGATTTTATTATTTCTGCAAAGAGCACGGTAAATAATTGTATAAAAAAGATATGAATAAAAAAATTATTTTTCTATTGATGCTTTCGCTGAATATATAATTTAAATTATCGCTCCTGACGCGTATCCTCCGGAACATATTATTTCAATTTTAATCGTCTAGTTTTATATAAATTTTATTCACACGAGTTAACGTATTTTCGAGATAAACGGGGGAGAATGCGCAGCAACTGGTGCTAAATTCATAAATACGATCCATAATTTTTACTTCGTCATCCAGTTTTGCGTAAATCGTGATAATATCTCTAGACACTGCTCGAAGAAAAAACACGAAAACAAGTCGTCGATTAACTTTTGTGCGACTGATGTGGGCTATTTTTAAATTCATAAATAGAATTTAAGTAAGGTATTATAGAAGACTGATGCGAAAAAAACTATAATTTGGCCAAATATTTCTAATCATATTATTTTTTTACTTATCCTCGCTTTATATTAAACAGATGTTTTTTACTGCGTGATGAATTTTTTCAAAGATATCCTAAAACTAAGTCTCGGCTTCTTTGCGAGCAATTTCTTACATCTATTTTGACACATTTGTAACTTCCAACATTATTACCCTTGAAATGTTTCTTAAATTTCGGAAATAATTTGAAGTCTGTTGTAAACCAATTCCACACCAAAGCCATACATTTTCATGCGTCGGAAATTATAATTTATTTTACTGTTATCGCTCGCGTATATTTTATTTAAAAAATAATAAAAGGACACGATAAATAAAGAAAAAAATAATTATTAATTTTTCTCTTTTTCTTTATCTCTCTGTATATGTATATGCAATATATTAATTGTATTATAAACAAATTATAGCAAAGAGATGAAAATCTCTCGCAAGAGTATTGCTTTCGGAACTTGTCGAGTGTGAACGAAGGAACCGGAAGAGGAAAACTGCTCTTAATAATACGGTTTGAGATCGATGTGAAGAAAAAAAAGAAGATAACCCGTAGGAACCAATCGCGGCGCGCGTAACCGCTGGTACGGGAGCCCCCTCGGCCGGTCTCGCTACCGGGCTCTCGCGTATTATTAAGCGCACGGCGCACGCTCGAATAAAGTGGCGTGTCCGAATGAGTAATATAAGCGTGCCTGGGCGTAACCCAGATTGATTTAAGCCGTGGACCCCTCACGCGGCGGCGGAGCCTAACACGGAACTGCGCATTACGCGCGATTCAAACATCGCACGCATTCTATAAAAAGACTGCCGCTTCCCCGAAGAGAAACCGCGCCCCTGTCATATCCGAATCGGATGACTTGGCATAAATACTGATGTCACGACGCGCAATATAAGTAGCAATGATATTCGCGCTGTCGCAAAAACAAAGCTGTTCGTATCACTTTGTTGTCTCGGGAAGATGGAAGCGTAAAAACTCGCGGCTATACAAGCGCATTTTTACTTTTGTAGTCTAAATTTTTGATAATTTTATCAATCGCATACGCATGCAGCATTTTTATTCAATTAGAATATAATAACTGTAAGGAATAATATTTTATCTGAAAAATTGAAGTTTTCCTACCATTTTCGACTTCAATTTTCTCACGTTTTTATGCATTTTAAAGGAATTCAACAGGTTTAATTTATATAGAAATTAAAGTTCCCACTTTGTATCTGAAATAATTTTAAAAGTAAGTGATCTGACTATTCAAACTATGAAAACAAATATTAGATCGAAAATTGAAAGTAAAAAAAAATTTTAACTCGGACGAAAATATAGATTTGCTCTTAATGTGACTTCCCTTTAAATTTGATCAGTTTTCCTTGGAATCGCGCAAATTTACATTAGCCGTTTCTGTCATGAGATATTGATATACGTGCCAGTGAAAATGAACGACACATCACGGCTACTACGTAGCAATCTTGTCGAAGAATTATGAGGTCGTGATACGCCTGTATTACCCGAGACGGAAGAGACACATGTGGCAGGAACAGGTTCTCACTTTGCGCGCGAGACGAGGTTAATGAGTTGTGCGTTAATGAGTCGGGTGCCGAGGAAAGCGACATTTAGCCATGTAAACACTCAGGTTTTACATTACACTCACGTGCGCGCGCGCGATGATGCAGCACGCAAATAATCTGTTGAAGGCGATGATAAATGGATCGCGCTCTCTGATAACCGCCAAGTCTGCGTCTGAGAATTCGACCGCGATCAAAATAACAGAATTACACGAATAACGAGAAGTGATTATATAGAGAAAAAATGAAATAAAATCGCGCGCGTAACGAGATATAAGATGAGTAGCATCGAGAACGCGAATAATGACGTTTCTGCGACAAGAAGGCAAATATCCGTGCCGGTTATTATGTTTTTGCCTCGCGAGAGTTGGCGCGGTCGCCTCCATTTAATGGTATGATAATGTACGATAATGTATGATAATGCGATATTTATGTAGATCGTCATGCTGGCAGAAGACTCGCGAATAAACGGAGAAGCGTTTTGATATGTACGCGAAGCTACGGTGCGAAAGTGAATTTTGTTGTGCCGAGAGAAAGAGAGAGAAGGAGAGAGAGAGGGGGAGAGAGAGAGAGAGAGAGAGAGAGAGCTCGGAATAATCAGGCGGGACTTCTTCTTTCGCAACGTGAACGGAATATCGCGCCATTAGGTACGTGATTGAAAGAAATTTCGCGCGATATAACTTTCGCAGCGAATATCAATCGCTGTAATTTGAAGTAATTGCAATGAATGAACGGAGAGTTGGATTTTTAATAATTGTCAAAGAATTCGTTTAACAAAGTAAAGCGAATGTATGCGTTCAAAATGGATTCTAAATATTTTTAGATACCGTAACATTTCTTCAGATACCGAAGAACTCTCGAATTCGTATAACGAATTCATCGACACATCTTTCTAACAAATTAAACTGGGAAAAATACGCGAGGGATCTGAGAATGACCAAAGATGCGACGCTATATACATATTTGCGAATCTCGCTATCGACATTCTTGGACGACCGAAGGAAAAACGGAGGTAAACGGATCACCCGCAGTCGCGGGTGCCCTTTTGTTCCTTCCGCGTCGCGGTAGTACACGAAGGGCGGAGTGCGTGGAACAAGAAGCCAAGCAGAGCCAATCGAGGTGGAACGGAGAGACGACCAACCCGAGGGGCCCCCGACTCGATATACGTGCGTGCACTCGTTCTCGCGTGTATGGAGGAATAAAGGAAGGAGCGGTAGCCCTCGGAGTCGTTCGTTCGTTCGTTCTCCTCGCCGCAGCGTGGAAGGCCGGTAGCCAACCAAAGAAGAGTCGCTACTGTGCACCGCCCTACCGCCGACTACCGGTTTTCGGCGGCCAGTCGCTACCGCACCGCGGCCGGAGAAGTCCACCGAGAACGGATGGACCACACCCTTCCTCACCTCTCCCACCCCGACGCGAGACGTATCACGGAACCCGCGGCGGGTACGCGGACGATCTCACGCGCAAGGGCGTTTCTTCTCCGAGAGATCGTTCCCTATCGCGCGGGAAGATTCGCGGTGGCTGCGAGGGAAAAATGGTAGCCCGGCGATGGACCCCGCATAAAGGATTCTCGAATAAGTCAACACGTGTGAAATTGAACTTGAGGAATCTGTACTAGAGATTTAAATATTAAATTTTTTAAATGACGGAAAATATATAAATAATGTCAAAGTTAGTCGATACGATTTGATTGGCGAGTTTGTAATTTAACGTTTGATTTATGCTTTAATGAAAAATTAAGAAACCTACGCTAGTGGATCACGATCATTGAATCAGAACGGAAATGATTGTTTGCGTAATGTAAAATATAGGATTTACTTCATGTATACATCGCGTTACAGAAAAATTACACATTTGAAAACGTATTCATAAATTACCGGGCAGATTCGAGAAGAAAGGCTTGCGTAGAAAGATCGAAGGAGATTTGAGTATAAAAATTGTGGACAACCTATGAAAGAGAGGCCATTCGACGACCAATCGAAACGCAGCGGCTACCGCGCACCGTCCTACGATCTGCTATTTTCGAGTCCAGCCGCAAAGACTCGAGATATGCGAATAAATATGGACCACACGTGTTCCCGCCCCAGGTATGCACGTGAGTGGAAAATATGCGAAAAGGTTCCGACAGATATTCAATAATACAGATATCTCCCTTTCGCCCTCTCTGCAGAATATAAATGACCATGTTGGAGATTTATAACGCTATATGATCTGCTTTCTCTCTCTCTCTCTCTCTCTCTCTCTCTTATTGTTAATGTTATTTCGAATGTTATTAAAGTAATAATGTTATTACATTAAGCATTTGAGTGTACGATTGATGTAGATATATGTATATGTTTACTAAAGAATAAATAATTTCTATCTCAAATTTAAATTGTATAATTATAGAATAAAATATAATTGAAATTATATCGCTCTATCAATTAAAATTATAAATAATAAATTAATTGACTTTGACTTACCGAGATAGAAGAAATGCGAGTAAAAAGTTTGTCCTCGAGCAGTAGTACTCTTCCGTGAAGGTAAATCTGTAAGCGTTTCGGCGAACGAAGAACGAAACTCGCGAAACGCGTCTAGACTGAACTGCGAGAAAGATAAATCGCGCGCGGTTACAGCGAGTATACAGCGTCGTCTAACGTCTCGCCAACAGTAAACGTGTTACTTAAACGGGACTCCGGTGGCTCGTGAAAGTGTTGGAAGATGCTGCGCGTGTGTCTTCCGGGCTGACAGGTCTGGACCGTTTGGGTGCGCGGCGTCGACTGAAGCTTCGTTTGGCCGGTCGGTTCGCTGGTAGCCCGAATAGGTAGGCACACCAGAAGACGGTAGGACGCAGTGTGTAACCGCCAAAGGTCTCCTCGTCGTCGTCGTCGTCGTCTCGCTTCTTCTGGTTGGAGGACCGGGAGACACCTCCCTACCGAACCGACTCACCGATACCCACTAGTTGTCGTTCGTGTGAAGGTAGCCTCCCTCGATTCCACGGGGAACGTCCAGGATGTTCCTTCCTCGACCTCGTTGCGGTGGTAGAGGTAGAAAAGAGGCGGCTGGGGCGGCGAGGGAGGAAGAGGTGAAGGAGGAGGAGGAGGTGGTGGTGGAGAGAAGGATGCGGAGGAGGAACGGGAGCAGAGAAGAAGGAAAATGAGGGAAGAGGGTGAACGGCGGGTGATGTCGGTAGAGAGGAAACGGCGAGAACCGATGATAAAGAGGAATACCCGACGAAGAAGGGAAACAAGTGGTAGCGCGTCTTGTCCCGACTCTGCGTGCGTCCTTGTCTTACCCAGACGCCGAATAGCAGCGCGGTTATTCACAAATCCTTCGTCGACGCGGCTTCCTGAGCTCCCGCTCGGTACCCGTTCACCCTCCCCGCTTTCCCCACGCCTGTCCCCCGCGTTCAATTGCTCCCTCTCTTCCACGCACCACGGATCCTCGGCATCCCTACCACCGCGACCGGCGTCTGGGCCCGCCCTCGTAACCGTGAGGCGAGAGCATCCCTCTTCACCCACGCCGAGACCCTTTCTGGTCTATAATCTCGCTTGTGTCTCCCCTACCCTTCTCTTCAAGTATTCGAATACCGCCGCTTCCTTCCGTCTTCGCCTTTTCCCGAAAGGATACCCCCCGCGGGGGCGGTAGCTAACCTCGGCCGTAAAGGCTACGAAGGTAGCGCTCGTATCCAAAAGCTAGAGCCACTGACTCTTCCCGGCGCGCGCGCGTTCAATCTACTCACCTATTTATCTACCTGTGCATAGGCCCGAAATGTGTTGCCGATTGTTCATTCTTGAAAAAAACGGTTAATATTTTCCCGAATAAACGTTACGAGCTATTTCATCTATTTACGCGCAAAAGCGCGACAAATATGCGATTCTCGCGGAGAAAATTCGCAGATGCGAGAACGCATTTCTTGATTTCTGCCGCGGTAGGAAAGACCGGGAGAAAGGCAGATTTAAAGAAGACGCGAGAGAGAGAGAGAGAGAGAGAGAGAGAGAGAGAGAGAGAATAAGAAAGATAGACAGGTAGATACAGAAGGAGAGACTCCGCTGACGATGAGAAGCAGATAGTGTGGGAGAAAGTGGAGGTGGAAGGAGCGTGCAAAAGCGAAGAGCGGGGGCTGACACGATGCCGCGGGGGTTCCCAGGGCACGTGGGAAATGCACAGTAGTCGATGTCAATCCCCCCACCATAGGCGGCTCACTCGGGCCCCGCCGGGCCCCACCACGAAGTTGTCGGGAGAGTCGGAGAGCCATCGCCAAGATTCCGGGCGCCGCCCATCGAGATCCTGCGGTATCGCTTCATTGGACAATCCCAATCCGGACGGGACGATCGCGCGCGCGCCTCCCTCGTCGGAATGATCGAGTGGTGGAAAAATTCCACGGAAACGGCGACGACGAGGACAACGAGGACGACGAGGACGATGACGATGAGGACGAAGAGAACGATGACGATGAGGATGATGAAGAAGACGACGACGACGACGACGACGACGACGGCGACGACGACGATGACGACGACGATGACGACGACGATGAGAAGAGGAAGAGGATGATGAAGAGGAAGAGGATGATGAAAAGGAAGATGAGAACGATTGGTAACAAAGGCAAACGCCGACAAGCCTGGCATGCGGCGAGCCATGGTCACTAGTTCGACTTGCGAAAATGCATCGCCAAAGATGGAGAGGCATTGAAACAACAATAGGGGAGAGTTTGGAGATAATAGTATTAATTGAGAATATATTCCCCTTAATGGAGAGATTTTGAATGGCAGAGGATATCTTTCATATAAGCAGCATAGAAATACACATTGATTACTGTAGAAATTGTATTGACACGTTGAAAGTAAATGTAGCTGCTTCGGTACAAAACAATGATGCAGCGAATTCAGACGTCGATAGCCAGAAATTCAATATCGCTAATTATACTGATTTTTTCTACGCACGTACGTTTCTGCGTAATGTCAAGCACATACATCGTATTTAATTTGATCATATCGTAATGCAATGTTTAAGTGCAACTAATAAGTTTCCGATTTTTTGGTTGCAATTAAAAAAAAAAAAAAATTTTCGAGAAATACTCTCTCTAGAGTACGTGAACGATACATTTATATTTTTTAATAGGAGGTAACGTGAACTATTAATGCAGAAGAGAGTTTTAATAACGTTAAATTGTTTTTTCCTCCCTTTCCCCTCTAACTATATTTCTCTCAATAATAATTCGCAAAAAAATTTTAAAAGCGGAACGTTGAATTTTGTCACATTTTTGCCTGATTGGATCATTATATTTCTTAAAATTATTTCTGTTGTAATATAAATGCAATTAATGCAATTAATTATTATATTGAATAAACGAATATATATCGCCCAGAAAGAATAAAATAATAAATATAAAATGTGCAAATGTATGATGCGCTATAACTGAATCGATACCGAAAAATAAAAATCATTGAAAAGAGTTCATGAACGTTGGTGAGTCGACTCATTGACAATTACAATCCTAAATAATTCGAATTATCATAACGTTTGTCATATTTTTCCAATAATCAAACTGTTTCCTCAATTCGATATACACTAATAATAAAGCTTTCTTCTTACGAAAACTCTAAATAAAATGGTGTCTGAACGGTGTTCGTTCAAATTTTTTTCCCAACTTTACGTTAAGTTAGAAGCGGTGGTCAACAAATACACGCAAAGATCCAGATGTCTGGCTTGTCTAATCAAAAGTTCGAAGGGTGTACCGAGAAGTCGCGTTATCTTGATATTTAAGATAAAAAAAAAAAAAAAGAGAGAGAGAGACGGCCGTGCGTATTCGGTGATCGCGCGGATCACAGAGAGGCCGCCGCCTCTGTTGGCGCAGGAAACGGAAACTGACGGAAACAAAGCCTCGGCAAATAGACGGCATCTCTCACAGGGGGAATGTTACGAGGGCAAATAACGCGCGTCCTCTCGTTATTGCTCTCTCTCGCCTCGTCGGTCTCGCGACAAATATTGTCACGTTCGCGGTAGAGAAGGAACGACAGCGGCATCGCCTCTCGTCTTCGAGGGGCCCTGACAACCGATAGATTAGGGGGCTCCGGAGCCGCGATACTGTATAAACGACGTCGCCGCAAGAGATAACCACCGAGAACCGATCACGACAGATCTTGTGTCGAATTAGCAGGTAGGTAGGTAGGTAGGTAGGCAGGTCCGAGCGTGAGAAACCGCTTGCGCCGATCTTGAGATAACGTAATCCGAAAAGAAAATTTGTGAATGGGGCCCCGAAAAGTGGAGGAACGCCCCCTCTTCGTCTCTGATCGTGCGTTGCGAATTCGAAGGGAAAGGACAGCGTAAAATTTTTTCTTTCCGGAACCATTCTTTTGACGGACTTGACAAAGTGACAGTAGCTACCGCGAGATCTGGTACAAACGACAGTTTAAGAAGTTACGAATCGCATTGTGGCTTTTGCGATTTAACACGAATAATCACTCTGTGCTTTAGACGTATTTATAACCGTAGAATTTTTATCTTCTTCTAAGTCACATAAACACAGAACGACATAAACCAATTATTTCTATTCCAAGATATTAACATAATTTATTTTTATGTATATTAATTAATTAATATAAAAATAAATTAT